CAGAATTTCGGCAGTTCACGCTAGCTAACAAACACTTCAGCTAATATACCATATTTCACTAATTTGCGATGGGCAAAGGCTTCAAAACGACTTTGCCTTTGTATAATTGCAAGCCCTCAGTCAAATGGCAAACCCTTCAGCAGCTCTTCAAAATTTGTTTGACTACGTGAAAAAGTTAATTACGAACGAAGAAAACAAAACAAAACAACAACAAAATATATGTATATACACGAAAAATATAATAAATATTAGCTACGATTGCTGCGCGGGCTAACGAATTTTGATAAGGGTCATCAAAACTGCAGCTAATTAATTATATTTCTAAAAACAAAATAAGAAAAACAAAAATTTAAACTACATGGCCAAATAAATATTTGTGCATAGAAAATTAAAGGCAACTAGTTCGCTTAATGTGATGAATATTTAATTAGATTTTTTTGTACGTTATTCAATTACTAAATATTTAAAATATAAATATTGCATGGTATTTATGCCAAAACATACGTTAATTGTATTTGCTGGATTGCATCAAAACAAACAAAAAGAATCTTAAACAATTCAAATTTATTAAAGTTTATGCAGCTCGAAATCCATTTTTTGCAATTCAAATTATTATTTATTTTATTTAAAGTAATATGCAAATGAAACGCAATAATGCAAAACAGTTTAGAATTTCGTTCATAAATTTAAAGCAAAGCATGTGTGAATATCCTGAAGAGCTCAGTCATACCTTTCTCTCTCTCTCACTCTAACTCTCGACAAAGCTCTGTCAACAGACAATATCCATAAATTATTTGTTATATTTCATATATTTCATTCATTTAACGCATCTTTCTTTACTATAAATTTTATTTTATTTGCCTATTTTATTTATTAGATTAAATGTTATTTATTTAGATTTAAATTGCTATTTATTATTTAGTATTTATTTTCGGTTTGACGTCATTTTATACCATATTATTAAATGTCATATTGTTTTTAGAATATTTTCTACATTTTTTATTTTATATATTTAATTTTAAAAATAATTTTTTTTTTTTTTTTTTTTTTTTGCTACTACAATTTTTTATGTATAATTTTTTATTCATTTATTTATTTTTGATTTATTTACTTATTATTATTTGTTTGTAAAACTATTAATTAATTTTATATTTTCTTTATTAAACTCTTTATTGATTATTTGTATTTTATTTTATTATTTATATTTATTTACTTATTATTATTTTTGTTTGTAAAACTATTAATTAATTTTATATTTTCTTTACTAAACTTTTTATTGATTATTTTATTTTATTTTTTTTATTTTTAATTTATTTTTTTATTTTTAATATTTAGTTTGATTATTATTTTTATTGATTTATTTTATTTTATTATCTTTTTAAAATTTAGTTTTTTAATTATTTAATATTTGATGATTTTCTTAAATATTTAAAATAAATTAATTTTTATATTCTTTAGCCTTATCCCTCTAATTCTCTCTCTCTCTCTCTTTCTTTCTCTCTCACTCTCTCACTCTCCCTCTATCGCTCTCTCTCGCTGCTAGCTGAAGCTAGGCTCTGTGCAAAGCTAAGCCATAAGCAAGTTAAGCTCTAAGCTAATGTATTTCGCGCTGAAGTCCTTTGTCCGATTATACGCATATTTAAGTGCTATTGAGCCATTAAGCTCGCGTTTCGGTCGAGCTACTTGCATTTGGCTGCTGGCACAAGGTGCAGCTTTAAAGCAATCCATTGATTATCAGTTTCCGAATGGCGGCATTGCCAGCTACGCCGCAGCAGCGAAAGACTTGAGTGCCTGCCCGCTCACTCTCAGCATCTCTCCCTCTCTCCGCCTTTCACTGTTCGTTGTCTGTCTCCGTCGGCGTCATCCATCTTTTGTGTGCCAAATGGCACTCGGCAAAAGTTGCTGCAACCACTTCCGGCCATGCAATGGACTATTGGCCAACCCTTCACCAACTCAATTGCATCTTTTGTCTGCTCTTCCTCATTCGCTGCACATGTGTGCGTGTGTGTGTGTGTGCGTGTATGTGTTGCTTTAATTGAATTGCTGTAAAAACGCGGCACAAATTATTGACTTCAAGTGGCAGCCAGCCAGCATATTTTCCTCTTCCTGCCTTCATTTCGTCTCTTTTTTATTTTATTTTCATTTCTTTTGCGTCTTTTCTTCTTTGTGTTTTTTGTTGTTGGCTGCCACAAAATTTTTCCATAATTTGAGTGGCCTGTAGCTTCAAGGAGTTTGGCGAGCCAAAAAGCTCCCCAAAGTTTTCCATCAAAAACGTTTAGAATGTTTTTTCCTGTTGCCTGTTGGCGCTCACACACACGCACACACACACTCACACATGCACACACACACGTATATCATGTGTTTTTTTTATGTAGTCCCCCACATGCGGCTGTCCCCTGTGTGTCTGTTCGTTCTGCCATTGCCCGCCACGCATTTTGCTATTGTTCAACTTTGCTCCCCACTCCGCTCCCTCTCTTGACTCCTCTCCTCTCCGCTCTCGCCTCGTCTACTCTCTGGCTCATGCCCTAACCTACTTTTGACTTGCTCAATGTTGGCTTCTTTTCAGTGTTTCACCGTTTTGTTGTTGCTGGCGCACTCTTGTTCTTCTGCTGCTGCTTCTTCTTCTTCTGCTTTTCTACTACTGCTGCTGCTGCTGCTGCTGCTGCTACAGCTTTATATTCTCCCATTTTTGTTGTTGCTTCTGTTTCTTTTTTTTTTTTTTGACATAAATTTGAAACTTTTCAGTTTTATTGTTGCGGACTCGTTGGCAGT